CAATGGCTATGTGTCTTCCTATTTATTGTGGTAGGGTAGGCTTGACACAAATAGAAGCAAAGAATAGTCTTAAGTCCATGCAAATGCCTGGTGGTGTACCTGCAGAGGTCCAGGCCCAATGGGCCTGTCACCCACCTCATGCTATTAGAGTTACAAAGACCAAACAAAAATACCCACAATGCTGTCAGGGCTCGGGACAATATCCCAAAATACGCTTCAAAACCCCATGTCCCAGCTCCTATGCAACACACTCAAAACGTCTCTTGCCCAAGGGCAGTCATAAAAACCAGAGTCCTTTGTCCCCAAGACAGGAAACTTGACTTTAATCTCCCCAGCCTGTCGAGGAGGCTGGAAGGAATTCTCCACCTTTGCTTGACAGGTGCTGATGGGAATCTCAAGGGGGAAGCTGCTTGGCGATTCCTGAGAAGCGGAGTGCCCTGCCTGGCCTCTTAGCACTGCTCACACAGCCTTGCTGTGCCCTCACAGCAAGCTGTGCACAGGAAGGCCTGAGCAACCCCGTTCCCAGGGGCCCAGGGACTGAGTGCATACGCCAGGGGATGGGTGCACTCACAAAATGTGACCCACAGACAACGGAGCATCAGTCAGCCGTGAAAAGGGGTGGAGCACTGTTTCATGTGACCAAGGATGAACTCTGATGATGATGATATGCTGAGGAAGCCACTAAGCAATCAAATCAGGGTCTAGAGAAGAGATCCATAGACAAAGGATATAATCGACCTGGCTGAGGGGGGAAAGGGACGGCTGCTGAATAGGGTGGAGTCTCCTTGGGGTGATGGCGATGTGCTGGAGCCAGTCAGACCTAGTCAGACCACCTTCTGGTGCATGAGAAACTAGTAAAAATCGGTGCTATGAAGGGTTTACTAATTACACAAAGAATTTAACTGAAGGAGCACGGCCTCCAGTACGACTGGAGATTAGCAGTTCTCTAGTCAGGTTGGCTAGAAACTGTAGAAAGAAAAGGTTTGTTCCATAATTGAAGTTTCGGGTCGCAGAGAAAGTTTCTGCTGAAGGTGGTGCACCGGGATTGATTCCCGTTAACAAAAGGAGTCAGCCCAGACTTACAGGCAGCCGTTAGGCCCCGCCCACTTCGAAGAACACGCCCCTGAGGGGCCGCTCAAGGAGCAGAGCAGGTTTGCAGTTAAGTCCGCAGTTAAGTCCCCCGAGCCAGCGAGCGCTTTTCAGGGGAAGCACAGTCCTGCCAGGCGGACAAGACGGCCCTGAGTAACAAGCATTCGAAACGAACACTGGCCACTAAGAAGGAATATTAAGAACGAATCCTGACAACATCGCTGCCTTGTCAATCTCCCATCTGCCCGAGCGGCCAGACTTGCAGTCTCCTGTGTCTGTTTAAATTGTTCAGTGTGTGACCTGGGACCAGAATGAAAGGGATCAAAGGATGACAGCGTATGGGAAAAAGCAGAAGCCTGCTGTGTGAAAGTCGGTAAAATCTTCGTTTGGGCGGGAATGGTGTGAATTTTCATTAAGGAGCCGTCTCCTTAATCCGCTGAGTGCGGGAATGGATTCTCACTGGGGTGGCAGTTGGGGCATGCAGACTAGGTTCTCACTGGTGTCACACAGAAGAGCTCGTGGTCGAAGTGGCTTGGCAAGACGGCCCTTCTGGAAAAGGGTGTACCAGGCTCACATTCACAGAAAGTTCACGCCGTTTTTATTCTAACACAGAGAGTAATTCTGTGTCCCTGGACCAATCCCTCATCCCACCCCATGTCTGGGGTTGGACCTCAAACTCTTTCATGATTGCCTAGTTTTAAAGGAACCCACGCAGAGGAAATGAAGGAGGGTAGGGGCCAGTTAAAGTCTGATAACACTGCTGGGCATGATGCAGCATGCCTTTGATCCCAGCACCTGGAAGGCAGGTCTCTGTGGGTTCAAGGCTGGTCTGGTTTACAGAGTGAGTTCCAGGGCAGCGCCTGTCTCAAGCAAACAAACAAACGTAAACAAAAAATAAAACTTGACAACACCGTAGGGCCTTTGCATAAACAAGTTTTTGCCAGCTGGAGGGGGATGAAAACCTTCTCATAAATGTTTCTGAATGGGAGCGATAAAAAGATTTTCATTCGTTGTTAAAAAGAAAAGTTTTACAGTGCTTGAGAGAAACGACTAACATTAAATATTTCTCGGGGGGGGGGGGGGGGGGGGGGGGAGAAGGGGAGGAAGGGAGGAAGGGAAGAGGGTGGGAGGGAAAGTTTGGAAATGAGGCGAGAGGGAGTGAATTGGTTCCACTGGGACCTGGTGAGAGACTGGGAGAGGTGTGGCTGTGACTGCAGGGAAGGCCTGGTGGTTCTCCCACAGGCTGGACAGGGCTGTGGGCCATACTCCTGTCAGAATCTCCACCTTATAAACGTGGAGATGAAGCCTCAAAATGGAGGCAATTTGCCTAAGTCCTGCTTGGACAAGCAAAGGGAAGGTTTGAGCCAAGTGTCTTTATCCCCAAATCCCTGCTCTTAAAAAAACGGTAACCCTTGGGCTAAAAGGAAGACTCGGGGGTTACATGCCTGCTTGGCATTTGTGAGGCTCTGAGTTCGATCCCAGCTGCACATACACAATAAAAGAGGAGTCAGTCATGCATGCAAAAACACACCTGACATCCCAGCAATCAGGGGGCCTGGGCAGGAAGATCAGGAGTTCACGCTCAGCCTGAGCTACAGAGTCAGTTCCAGGCCAGCCTGAGCTGTATAACAATTTGAAACAAAACAAAAAAACAGATTAAGCCAGGGGAAGGAAGAATCCATCCTCCTCAGGGGAGGCCAGGGAGCTCAAGAACACAGAGTCCAGCATGGAGGAGGGACACAGTCAACTCAACAGGGGGCTTCTGGGAAGGAAGAGAAGAGATATTTGTATTCCATGAGGAAGGTCACGATCCCCAGGGTGGAGGGCCAGAGGCTGGAAGGAAGGAACAAAGCAGGAACCCCGGTGGAGAGGGAGATCCATGCAAATGCTATCACAAGTGTGTGCCAGGCACTGGTGAGCCACTGAGGCCATCTTCCAGGAGCCCAGCGGCACAAGGAAGCAAAGCCATAAATACCTACAGTTAATGTTTCTTAGCACTGACCCCACAATGGCCTCCTGAGAGAGGGCCGTGCTCCCAACATCTGGGTGTGCTCACATCAAAGCCCATCAATCACCCTGAACACGGCAAGGCGACCACATGTCCCACGAGCTGCTGGAGAAACTATGAATGTACTTCAAGAGTAGACCACAGGACACTATAGCTTTCCAGCCCGCTCTCTTGCAATCATCCGCTCTGGGGAGGGCACAGGCCAGGTTTTAGGCAAGCCGGAACAGCCCTGAGGAGGTCCAGGCAGAGAGGAAGAGGCCCCTGGCAGCAGAGGAAGGTCATCACACATGATCAGGCCATGGTGGGAAGAACCCCCAGCCCCCGTCAAAGGTGCAGGGGATGGCAAAGCCCCTTGACTACAACCTTTCTGTAAGAGATTCAGGGGCAGAGACCCCCTGAGGGTTGGTTCACTCCTGACTGTGCCCTCACACCGGACTATTGCTTGTCTACACCTCACGCTGCTAGACTGGGAAATCAGCAAACAGCGTCTGCCCGGGGGCAGGTAGTATGGACCCGCATCCCAGGACGCTGCAAGACAGGTCAGATCATTCGTTGAAGGCCAGCCTGGGCAACACAGGGAGACAACGTCTCCAAATTTAAAAAGCAAACAAAACCAGAGGTAGCGAGGCGCACCTGCTTACTTCCAGCAAGAGCAGGCAGAGGCAGGAGTCCAAGGCCAGCATGCAAAAAACAACTTTAAAAAGAAAAGACAAGGCTGGAAAATGCAGTTCAGAGACCTTTGTCTTGCATGTGTTCAGTCCCTAGGATCAATCCCCAGCGTTTCAAAACAAACAAAAACTTGCAGCTCTCCAAGGGGGTTCAGCCACAGAAGCGCAAGAATTGCTTAGAGTGGCCCTTCAGCTCTCAGCAAAGAGCCAAGGGGAGACTGGGAACGGTGGGGGGGGGGGGGTGCTGGAGGAAGAGGAAGATCAATGGACGCCAACCAGACGCCCTTTGGCTGTCACAGTGCTGGGATGGGATCCTGGGACCTCGTGCAGGGCTGGAAACTTAACTGGGGCAAGCCCCCGCCCTTCACTGGGACAGTCCAGGCCTCCGGCTGCTAATGGAGGGCTGAAATAAGCTGACATCAGCAATGCTAGGACTGAGCGAGGAAAAGCTATCACAGAGTCTCGCCTGAGTTTTCTGATTCCAGACCATTGTCCCCAGACTGGGTCTTTCTTCTCCATATGGCAGAGCCCAATGGCCTGCATCTAAAACCTTGCCGGGGCACTGAGCTTTGCCCTCGGTAGATACAATCTCACACTGAAACTCAGCCTGCAGACAACATTGTGAGGTCTGGCTCAGAGCAGAAACAAAATAAATACAAACTACAAGGAAGCCTGCCTGAGGGGGTTGGCAGCTCCACTCTATCTGCTGGGGCGTTGCCTTTACACATGTCTGTAAAATCTCAGGGAGCTGTATAACTGACTGTATATTCAACACACCTAGGAAGAAAATCTTCCCATGTTCAGGAGGCTGCCAGGGACTGCTGTGTCGCTACGATCGGGGCTGTGCTGGGCATTTCTTAATATTTCACCGTTTTTCAGCCAATCCGAGGCTCAGGGAGGGCAAGCCACTTGGCAAAACTCACACAGCAATAAAGATAAGAGACAGAAAGGCTGCCAAGCAGGTCTCAAGGGACTATCTCGGGGCAGGGGGCTTGAGGCCAGCCTTGGGGCGGGCAGGTTGTCACAGTCTCTCCGCGGAACAGACACCACGGGGGTCTAGAGGCCGGCCTGGGTCCGAGAATCACCGCGTGGAAAGGGGGGACTGCCTTCCCAGCTCGGCAGGCAGGGCGAGAGGAGCCTCCTCCAACCTCGGGCAAGTCCGCTGCAGCGGTGCCCTGCGGAGGACCAGGGCGGCCACCCCGCCTCCCCGCACGCCTCGTCCCGCCGCGACCTACCTGGGTGTACCGCCCGCGGCCGGCTGAACCCGCGGCCCGTGTCGCCCGCGTTGCCCTCGCTCATCACACGGCTCGGCGAGGACCCTCCAGCCGCCTGGACCCGCGGCCCCGCCTCTTCGGGTTCCGGATGACGTCACAGAGGCGGGCGGGGCCGTTCCCACGGGCGCGGGGTGGGGAGCAGCTACCTCCGGGCGCCTCTCCCTCTTCTTACTGGGTCTCCTTTCTCCTCTCCCCTTTCCTCCGGTCCCAATGTCTCCTCCCTCCTGCTTGCCGCCTCCCCTCCCCGCCTCTGAGACCCAGGCTGGCCGCGAACAGCTTAATCGCCTGCCTCCACCTCCCGACGGCTTGGATTACAAGTTCCACTGTTGTGAACTGTCATTTGGTAGCAAGGACACGGAAGGTGTCGAAGGTTGCCATTTGCCGAACCATGCCGTTTTAACCCGCTCGCGTGGTTACTAGGGGAAGGGCAAGTGGGGGAGGATTTGCTACCTAGGTTCATCTTAGAAATGTACTCATCTCACCAACACCCCATACCTATATTCATGTACAGCTGAAACACAAAATTAAAAGTAATGAGCGGGGCCGGCGAGGTGACTCAGCAGGTAAAGGCGCTTGCTGCAAGCCTAACGGCCTGAGTTCTAGCCTCAGAATCCACACGGTGGAAGGAGAGGACAGGCGCGCACACAGACACAAAAGAAATACAAATAGATGAAATTCGGGAAATAGTCTTTTTAAAAAGAAAGCAGGGCTTGAGAGATGGTTCGTTAAGAACACTTTCTGCTCTTCCAGAAGATCGGGGTTCAATTCCCAGCAGACACAACCACCCTGAACTCCAGCTCCGGGGGATCTGATGTCTTCTGATCTGCACGGGCATTTGCACTCAATTGGCGTATGTTCACAGAAACACGCGTAAGTAAAAACTATTTTAAAAAGAGCGTGGGCAGATGTCTGTGAATTTGAGCTAGCCTGGTCTATAATAGCAAGTTCCAGGCCAGCCAAGGAGGAGGAGGAAGAGAAGGGAGAGGGGATGGGAACAGTTGCTGTCCCAGCTTCTCAGGAGGCTGAGGTGGGAAGATTTCTTGAGCCCAAGAACTCAAAAGGCCAGCCTGGGCAACGCAGGAACCTTATCAAAGAAAGAAGAATGGGGGGGGGGGGGGGGGGGGGGGGCAGGGCAGGTGGCAACAAGGCGGAACAAGAAGGTCTATTTTGAGAATTACTAAAAGGCCCAGCCGCCAGCTGGCACTGGAGACCTTGAGCAGTGGCAGCGAAGGCAGTCAAGCAGGATCACCATGTCTGTCTGAAGGTCACCCGGCTTCCCTCCCTGCGCCCTTGGCAGCCCCGGCACACCCTCCGTATTTCTTACGACCAGCCTTCTCCCTCCCTTGCCAGTTAGATGGCGTCTGGTGACCTCTGGTTGTTTACATGGTTTCTGTCCTCGTAGTGTTTCTGTCCTGCTGGATGATTAATACAGGATATTGACATTGCTTTAAAACAAACAAAAACATTACCAGGCACCGGTGACGCAGGCTTGAAACCCCCCAGAACTCTAGAGACAGAGGCAGGACTACCAGGAGTTCAAGTCCAGCCTGGGCTACATAGCAAGACAGGTCTCCGAACAAATAAGAAAACTGAACTACCAGGGCTCTGGTGTGCATCAGCTCATTGGTGTATAAACTGCAGCCCCATCCCCAGGGCCTGAGCCTTTCCTCCTCAAACCGAAATGTGTTTCCTACTGTCTTTCTTCATAACTTTCTTTCTCTTTTACTTTTTGTTATTTTCAGTTGATTTTGCTCTCTAATTTATGGTATGAATGTTTTGTCTGCATGTATGTCGGTACATCATGTGTGTGCCTGGCCCCCATGGAAGCCAGAAGAGGGTATCAGATCCCCTGGAAATGGGGTTGCAGACAACTCCATGTGGGTCCTGGGAACCCAAACCGGGTTCTCTGGAAGAGCAGCATTAGTTCCTTTTCTAACACTGTGATAAAGTACCACAACCAAAGCAACTTAGAGAAGAAAGAGTTTATTTGGGGTGTGCGGTCTCAGAGGGTTGAGTCCATGACGGCAGGGTGGAGGTTGCAGGCGGAGGGCGGCTGGAGCAGCAGCCGAACGCTCTCATCGCCAGCTGCAAGCAGGAGGCAGAGGGGGCTTGCGCCAAATGGCCTAAGTCTTTTGAAACCTCAAAGCCTGCTCCCAGCAACACACCCGCTCCAGCAGGACCACACTTCCTAATCCTTCCCAAACTGTCCCACCACCGGGGACCAAGGATTCAGACCTGTGAGCCTGTGGGAGCCATTCTCACTCAAACCACCGCACTGTGAGAAAGTCGGGGTCAGGCTTACTGACTCAGCCATTTCAGAGTTTAGGGTTACTTGGGGGAGCTTAATGCATGTCATCAGGACCTGCTGTGTGTCCGTCTCCTCAGACTTTCTCTCCTCCAGTGTGCTTCCAAGTAGCTCTCAAAACTGCTCTTTATAGGGAAGTAAGATCCCCCTGCCTGGACACCACAAAATCTTGGTGAGTGCTGCATGATTTAAGGGTACCACTTGACCTTCTATGAACTTCTTTTTCACAACTCTGCCTTTCAGTGGCATGAGATTCAGTTAGGCTGGATGACCAGGAGGAGCCCGGGAGATGCTCCTGTCTCTGCTCCCAAGACTGTGTTATTACAAGACACACTACATTGGTCCCTGCCATCTTGGAGTTTGAGGGCTGTCTCTGACATGAACTCAGTGGCTGGCTCTTTGATCACCTCCCCCTCAGGGAGCAGCCTTGTCAGGCCACAGAGGAAGACAATGCGGCCAGTCCTGAGGAGACCTGATAGGCTAGGGTCAGATAGTAGGGGAAGAGGACCTCCCCTATCAGGGGACTAGGGAAGGGGCATGGGGGAGAAAAGAGAGGGAGAGTGGAACTGGGAGGGGATGAGGGAGGGGGCTACAGCTGGGATACAAAGTGAATAAATTGTAATAAATAATAAAGAAAAAGAAATAAAAACACACACTACAGCCAAGATCTTACCCTGTAGCCCAGCCTGACTTCAAACTTAACAATCCTCCTGCCTCAGTCTCCCAAGTGCTTGGATAACAGGCAAATGCCACCACGCCCAGCTAGAAGCTGCTATTTTGAAACCTCTTATCAGACACATGTAGCTTGACTCTGTGTTTCCTTCGATTAGACTCTCAATAGACAAATGGAATACACCAAACATTTATTAAAATCTTTATTCTTGCTGCATTTAACAACAGTAACAACCCCAAGTTCTAAGCAGTTGTGTGGTCAAAGTTAAATCACCTCCCCCAGGGGGTCCTTGGTTTTCAGGTCTGCATTACACATGGGTTAGGGCCATGACACCAGGCTGGGTGGTACCCGCCCTGGGGTGCTCTGAGAGCCCTGGTGAACTAGGAATGCTTTTGGTCTGAAGGGTGGAGGCTAGGGAGTTCTCCAGAACCAAGCTAAAGGTCATCCTATCTCACACAACAGACATCCTGCCTCCCAGGAACCTGGTAACCAAAACCTGAGCCGATGCCTGGCGAGATGGCTCAGCTATTAACAGTGCCCGCTGCTCTTCCGGGTGACTCCGGTTTGATGATTAGTCCCCCTGCAAGGCAGTGCACAGGAATTCTGGTTCCAGGGGATCGGACACCTCTGGCTGCTGTAGGAACCTACACTCGCACGAACATACCTACCCACCCCAACATACACAAATAAACATATACATTTTTAAAAATTGAGCCATGAGCCCGCGTTGTAGGAACAGCTGCCTGGCATTTCTGCTTCCTTTTGACGACTGAATTTTCCAGGAATGCAACACAGCATACATTATAAAACGAACACTTAAGATTTAGTCTCAGGCCTGGAGAGGTGGCTCAGCTGGTAAGAGCACTGTCTGCTCTTCCAGAGGTCCTGAGGCCAATTCCCAGCAACCACATGGTGGCTCACAACCATCTACATTGGAATCTGATGATCTCTTCTGGCATGCAGGTATACATGCAGATAGAGCACTAGATAGATAGATAGATAGATAGATAGATAGATAGATAGATAGATAAAATTTAGTCTTAAATGTCATCTTGGTCTTCACTGTCTATATAGGTTCACATCTATAGATGCAACATTGGTGGTATTTCCCCTGAGAGCCCTCTGTTGTGGGACACTGTCCTCCAAGCACAGTGGCCATTAGCACAGTGACCCAAAAGGGGCCTTCAAGATCAGGTCTGCGGAAGTTCCCTCAAAGAAAGAGGCCGTGGAGAGTGACAACAGACCCTTAGCTGAGACTCCAGCTGGATGCAATTCTGTCCCTGCTGTCCATGGTCACCAGGGGCGCCAGCGTATACAAAGGACAGAGGGTTAACTTAAAGGGAGGGGGCAGCTATACAGTTCAGTCCTGCAGGGCTGGGACTTTGAGGAGATGTGTCTATTTTAGGGTAACCTCTCACCACATTCCTTTAGGCGGAGGGGCCTGGCTGGTGACAATAGGTTACCAGGGGTGAGCCCCTTGTTATAACACAGGACTTGTTTAGCATCCAAGGTCTCTGCATCCTGTTCAGCAGCAGCCTACCATGCCTTCCCCTGCCATGATGGGCTGAAATCCCTCTGGAACCACCAACCCAAGTAATTCATTCCTCCTTGGTCACAGCCATAAGAAAAACAACACACCTGGCCTTTTCCTTGGCGTGCCCACCTTGGCATTCCCCCTCTCCTTCTCTCACAGGATTTACCATTCTCTAGCAAAAATAAACAACAGCTTGGCCGTGTTAAACACCCGGTTATTGTGACGTTATCACTGTTGTCATTCTACCCTAGTGCAGCAGAATGAAAGTCCCACAGCAGGGATGGTCTGTGGTCATGATGATTCACCAAGATGTTCACTAGGCATGTGGGAATTAATGGATGGAGGTGGTGGGTTTCTCTCAGAGATTGCTCTGGGTTAATAGTCGTTCATTTACCTGTGTTACCTGCCTGCCTGGGCTTCCTAAATGCTGGGATTACAAGCATGTACCATGCCCAGTTTTATGGGTGTCTGGGATCAACCCCGGGGGCTTCATTCATGCTGAGTAAATCACCTACTGAGCTAGAACCCCCGCCCTTTTTTTGTTTTGTTTTGAGACAGGATCTCATCAGGCAGCCCAGCCTTGCCTCAAGCTTGATCTTTCCGCCTCGGTCTCCCAAGTGGTGGATTACAGGCGT